CGCAGCTGCTCCTTGGCCAGCTGTTGCACTTAGGAGGTTCATGCGTGGGGCGAGGAGGGGCGGCAGGGCAGGGACCGGCGGGTCAGAGGGGCCCCTGGCCGGCTCCCCACCCCCACCGCCTCCGCTGCCCACCGCCGCACTGCTTGGCCTCGGCCTCCGCGTGCTGCTCAGCCTCCTGGGTGCGGCGCTGGCGCTCGGCCTCCATGTTCTGCAGCATGGCCTCTGTGAGGCTCAGGTCCCACGACTGCAGCACGCTGGCCACCGCGTCCAGCGAGGCCACCTAGTGACAGAGGACACTGGTCAAAGCTCAAGGCGTGGGTTCTGTGTTCTGCTTAACCTGGGGAGGAGGTGCGCTTACACCATTTTAGAGAAAAAGGCCCCAACCGACAGAAATGTTCTCAGAGCGCCCCCGTGATGGCCCAGAATCGCTGGCCATCACGGTGCAGCTCCTGGGCTTCCTCCGGCTCCCCGCCAAGTTCCCCTCCCACGCTCCTCCATCCACTCCCCTGCCCACCGGCCCCAGGCTGTCTTCTGTCACCGCACACACAGGGTCCAGCTGTAGTTCCCTGCCTCTGCTGTCTCCTCGCAGACCTCCATCTGCAGGACACAGCGCTTGGGGCCACGCTCACCCCAAACCTCACAACTCCTGCCCCTCGGAGGTCCCACCACACTCCTCCAGGAGTGACACAGGCCCAGCAGTGGGCTTCTCAGAAGGGAGGGTTGGGGTTCTGGCAAGGGTTTATGTTATTTCTTGACTCAGGTGGTTAGACCATGAGCATTTCTCACATCATTTAATCAAACCACACAATTTTGATTAGTACAGTGTTCTTTTACAAAAGAAAGGCTGAAGATGTGTAGAATCAAGGAGTGGATAAATGAATGGGTGGCCAGATGGACAAGAAGGGATGAAGGAGTGAAGTCACAAGAGGAGTCCATGAATCGGTAACTGAAAGACACTGAGGACTCACCTGGAAGAGCAGTAGCCACCGGCCACAGAGCACTCGTGCAGGGGTTGTGCCAAGGAGTTCCACGCACTAGCTCATCCATCTTCAGAACACAGGGACTCTTATTACCCCATTTATGAGTATACGGGAACTTAGATGCAAATAAGTTTAAAAATTTGCCAAAAGTTAGTTTGTAAGTAGAACTGGAATACATGGAAAACTAAATGAGCAAACATACAAAAGGATAATGTAATGAGTGAATGTACAAATGAGCCAATGAATGGACAGATGAGCCAGCAGATGAATAACGAATGAATTAAATGTTAAAAGAATGGAGGTTGGATTAATTGAATGAAGAGATGAAATAATAACTCGATACATGGAAAATGAATAGCTGAAGGGACATCATGGATGAATAACTGAGGTAAGTAGATGGTTGGCTGAGCAAACGGACAGATGAAGGATGGATGATTTCAGTCAGTCAACAGAATTTCTGAGTGCCTTTCATATGACAACCAAAATGTCATAACCCTGGAGAATACAATTGTGAAGTGAAATAAACACAGTCCCTGCTTTCTCAGAATTTTCTGTCAAATAAACATGAATGTGTGGATGGATGGATGGATGTTTGAATTAACAAAAGGTAAATAAATGAGGGATGATTTCAGGTGATAGTAAGGGTGAAACGGATACACTAATGAGTTGGTAGACTGGTAGGTTTATCAATAAGCGCCTCGTACGTCAACGAGAGACTGAACTGATGAAAGAGTAAAGCAACTACTGGGGGAAAAGATTGGATTGAACAGATAAACTTACAAAACAACGCCGGGCAGACGTGTGAGTGAAGAGGGCGGCCCGCGGATGGACACGTAACGGGCGGCAGTGCCACTTACTTCTTCTGCGTCCTGGCTGCTCCTCTGCCTGCCTGCTTCACCCGTTACTGAGGCAGAGATGTGGAGACCTGACCCTGTAGTCACGGGTTTATTCCTCCTGGCAGTGCTGCCAGTTTTTGCTCCGGGTGTTTCGACGCTCTGTTAGCAGCCGTGTAAGTCTAGGACTCCACGTCCTCCTGATGAGACGGCTCTTCTAGCCCAAGAAGTACTCTCTTTTCTGAGGTGTACTTTGTCTGATGTTAGTAAAGTCATTTGAGCTTTCTTATATTTAGTGTGATCCTGGCATGTTTGTTCTGTCCTTTTAATTTTCACCTATTTGTGTCTTTATATTTGAAGTTGGTTTCTTTTCTTTGACTTCTTCCTGGCTGAAAGAAAGAACCGTTTATTCGGGGCTCATTGGGTCTGCAGCTCTGGGGACACAGATTTAAGCAGCACCTGGATTCTGTTCCACTGGACTTCGAAGTGGAAGCTTGTTTCTTACAGGCAGAATATGCTCGGGTTTTCTTGAATCCAAACAATCTCTGCCTTCTCACTGGAGTGGTCAGCAGGTCCATGTCGAGAGAGATTACTGACGGCGCTGAGGTGAAGGCCGCCCCTCGCTGTTGTTTTCTCTTGGTTCTGTTCTTCAGTTTCCCTTTGCTGCTTTCTCTGCCTCCTTTTCGATGGCATGTTTTTTAAATCCCATTTTATCTTTTGTCTAATAAGCTGTAACTCTTTGGATGCTCAGTCGTTGCTTCGGGTTTACAGGATGCCTGCACTCGGAACAGCACAGTCCACCTGCAGATGACCCTGGACCACCTCACGCCCAGTAGGAGAAACCCCCTGTGGAGTTCCGTGCTCCCGCCCCAACTTCATGTTTATGGTGCACACTTGAACAAAAAGCTGTAATTCGTGCAATTTTCAGCATGTGTATCTACATATGTTCTAAAACGCCGCAACACATTGCCATTATTTTTGTTTCTTCCATTGTCTTTTCAATACATTTAAATAGTCAGACAAAATCTGACGCACTTACCTGCACAGTCCCCCTGTCTAGGGCTCCCCCTTCCTTGGGTGCACCCACGTCTCCACCTGGCACCCCTTCCCTTCTGCCTAGGACCTCCAGGAACATTTCACACGGTGCGGGTCTGCGGGTGAGTGGCGCGGCTTTTGTGTGTCTGGAAGGGGCTTTACTTTGCCTTCCGCTTTGGAAGATACTTGCACTGGGTGGAGCATTCAGGTTGACAAGACATTCTTCCCCTTCAGTGCTTGGAAGATGGCACTGGACCTTTCCGCTGTGCTGTTTCCAACAAGAAACCTGCCCTAGTCCTCATCTCTGTTCTGTCTGTAACTTGTCTTTTTCCCTCTGGCTGTTTTTAAGATTTTCTCTTTATCACTGGCTTTGAGAACCCTCTCCATGGGGTGCCTCAGCCGGATTCTTCCTGTTTCTTGTGCTTGGTGTGTGCTGAGCTTTCGGGAACATGGTTTATGCTTTCCATCAAACTTGGAAACTTTAGGGTGATTATTTCTTCAAATACGTATTTTTTTCTGTCTCCATTCTTTCTTCTCTCCTTTGGAAGCTCCAGCCACAGAGATATCAGGCCTCCTGAAACCGCCCCACAGCTCGCTGACCCCCCTTTGTCTGGAGGAATTCTATTTTCTCCATGTCTCAATTTGGAGTAATTTCTCTCAAGCCTTGACGTGCACTCACCGTCCCCTCCACCTGTCTACTCGTGCAGTGACCTCACCTGCGTCTCTCTTGTCTTCCACCCCAGACATTGTCATTTTTACCTCTAGAATAAAAGGTTCTTATATCTTCCATGTCTCTGTTCAATTTTTTGTGCATCCAGAATACAGGTACAATACCTGTTTAAGTGTCTTTGATGTTAATTCTAATATCTGTGTCAGTTCTGGGTTTGTCTTGATTGCCTGTCATGCCGGTCATATTTTTCTGTGTCTTTGCATGCCTGGTAGCCTTTAATTAGATGCCACACAGTGTGCGTTTGCCTTACTAGGAGCTGTGTGTTTTGTATCTCTAGATGTACTCTTGAATTTTGTTTTGGGTGCAGTTAAATTACTTGGAAAGTTTTGTTCTTTGGGTCTTGCTTTAGGATTGGTCAGGCTGTACCAGGGCAGCATTTGTTCTCAGACCAACCCTTCTACATGCCCTGCCCACTACCCCACGGAATGTGAGGGTCCCCTAGTGGGGACAGGCCCAGCACTGCTTCCTTGCCTCCTCAGAGAGGGCTGTGTCCCTGGCCTTGAGACGTTTCTTCACGTACCTGAGTCCTGAGTGTTCGCCTGAACCCCCAAAGGGGCACCTACACCCCTCTAGAACTCTCTGCAGCTCTCTCTTCCCCGGGCACTTGTCATCTTACTGCCTCAGGACCCCTGGGTTCTGGTCCCTGTCTCCTTCACTCAGGGAACGGACCAGGCTCTGCCTGGTCCCTCTCCTACACCCCAGCCTGAAAGCGCTCTCAGGGAGCCAGGCCATCGAAGGCTCACGCCGTTTACTTCCAGGCTCTCGGGGATCACAGATTTCCCCACCAATGTCCAGCATCTTGCAAACACTGCTCCATGTGCCCTTCCCAGGTTTTGCTGTTGTTATCTCAGGCGGAAGGATAAATCAGGTCCCACTTTCTCCATCCTGGAAGCAGAAATCTCTGTTCAATTTTTTTTCAACCCTCTTTCTGGGTTGGGTAATTTGGGGTAATTTCTGTTGCTACATCTTCTAATTCATCAATGTCTCATCTGCCATTAATCACATCCCGTGCATCCTTCACCACAAACACTGTAGTTTTCAGAAGTCTCGGTGTTTACAGAGAGACGTGTTGGGGTGCATGTGTCGTGCATGTGACACTTAGAGGTTCTGTCGTCCTTGTCACCTGTGTCATCTCTGAGTCGATTTTGACTGATTTTGCTCTTCACTGTGGGTTATATTTTCCCGTTTCCTTGCATGCCTAGTGATTTTACTAAACTTTTACTTGACAACACTTACAGATTTACAGGAAGTTGCATGTACCCTTGACAAGTCCGCCCTATGATGGCACCTCGCACACTCACGTGGTACAGTCCACAGACCCCAGTTACTTTATTTTGACAACTGTACGCATTCCCTTGTGCGTGTGTACAGTACGTGCAATTTGATCATCAGTGTAATCTGTGAACCCGCCACCATCACTGAGATACAGACCTACCCCAGCAGCACAAAGCTGCTCTGTGTCCTCCCTCCCGGTCACCCACACGCTCCCCTTCCTTCCCTGCCCCCACACCCCATCCCACTCATCTGGTCTCCAGCTGCATCATTTTGTCACTTTGAAAATGGTCCGTAAGTGGCATCGTACAGCGTGTACCCCCGTGAGACGGGCTCTTTTCCACTTGGCACAAGGCCCTTGAGGCCCGTCCAGGTGTCATTAATCCTTGGTTCCTTCCTTCTCACGGCCAAGGTGTGTCCTGCGGTGTGGACCGGCCAGGCTGGTTTAACCTTACACCCCTTGAAGAACATCGAGGTGATTGTGAGGCAATCACAAATTAGGCTGCTGTGAACATTTCTGCATGGATACAGGCTTCATTTTACTGGAAGAAAACGTCCAGCAGTGTGATGACTGAAGGCAGCTGGCACATGTGTTTAGTTTAAGGAACAGCCCAGTTTTCCAGAGCCGTTGCCTGCGCGGGCGAGACATCCAGCCTGCCCGCGCCCTCACGGCGTGCGCTGTGGCCGCGGTTTGGTCGCGGCTTTCCTCCCGCGTGTACCCGCAGTCCCCACACCGTCTTCCACGCCCTTCGCTCGCTTCACACCTGGCCGGCGCGGCTGGGTTTTGAGGGTCGTTTGGACCTCCTGAGCCCGTTGTCAGATGTGTGTGGGCGGCAAAGGCTCCCTCCCTCCCTGTGGGGTCCCTTCATCCTCTTCACAGGGCATCAGCAGAGCGAGAGTCTCACACTTTGAGGACTGAGGACGTCCACTTCTGGGTTTTTTTTTTCTTTTATGGATTATGCTTTTTGTCTAAGAACTTTTTTTTTCATTTTTAAAAAAAATTTTTAGGGGGGAGGTAATTGAGCTTATTTATCTATTTTTAATGGAGGTACTGGGGACTGAACCCAGGAGCGTGTCCGTGCTAAGCCGGCACTCCCCCACGGAGCCACAGCCCGCCCCCGTCTGAGCCGGCCTCACCAAGCCAGAAGACCGGAAGGCTTTCTTTCCCCTGCGTCCTAAAGGGGTGACAGTTCTACATCTTACATTTGGATCCCAGTTCGTTTTACACATGCTGTGAGGTTTAGGTCAAGGTTCATTCCTCCACCTGTGCACCACCAATTGCTCCACTGCCGCCCACTGAAGAGACTGTCCCCTCCCCCACCCTGAGGGCGCTGCCCCTCAGTGCCCCCCTGACACCTGCCCCCTGACCCTCCCGGGCTGGACCTCCTCAGCGCCCCTCAGACAGTGGCGTGCACACTTCTTGACCCCTCGAGGCCCCCGTGCCCACTGCCCGGGCCTGTCCCAAGGGACCCGCCGGGAGCTGGGCCCTCCCTGTGTCCCTTCCTCACTCCAGCCCGAGGCCCTTCGTTCCCCACCTGAGCCTCACACTTTGCTCCCTTGTCTGAGGAGAAAGCAGAAGCAGATTGAAGCCCAAGGTTCTGCTGGTCTTTTAAAACCTGCCCTGCTGCTTATTAAAGAGAAAGAGCCCAAGGCTCTGGGGCGAGAGCAGAGGGAACGCCTTCCAGGACAAGGGGGACCCTGGAGGCGGAGGCGGCCTGGGGGTGACGGTGGGGCCCAGAGCACAAGCAGACCTCAGGGAGCCCACGTTTTCCAGGCAACACCTCGGCTTCCCGGGCTAGGGTGGAAGGACGCACACTGGGTTGGGAGAGGGCCTGAGATTCAAGTCAGATTCATTCAAAGAATTTAAGGTGGTGGTATTTGGTTATGGGGCTTCACTGATGCTCCCAAAGGCCCCTTCTGGGCGGGGCAGACGTCCAGGCACCCGTGTCCCCAGCCTGACCCAGGCCAGGGACAGACACCAGGGAGGAGCTGCCCAGGTGAGCCGCCTTGGGCGCCCAGCGCCTCAGGGCTCGCTTTTCTCAGAGAAACAGGCGCTGAGAGTGTGGGGCCAGGGCAGTGGGCCTCGTGCTGCCCTCACGCCCGTGGGACGCCCCGCGGCCACTGCCGCTGCCGAGGCCGAGGGAGCCAGCCTGTTTCCCCACCCCCTGCGGTAACTCTGCTTCCAAGGTGGGCTGCGGATCGGGGAGAAAAGTGGAGCCCCGGCCAGGGGAGGCCACAGAAACAGGGGGAGACTCCATGCGAGGACTTCCCGGAGGGAAAGGGCCTGAAAAGGCCGTGCAAGTGGTTCTGGGTCCCGGAAGGTCAGGGACCAGCCGGCGCGGGGCCACCGGGCTCCCGACAGCTTTGGGGGAGGAGGGTTGGTCTCTGCACGCGCCCCGCACCTGCTCGGGGGTGCTCCCATCGTCCGCATACACCCGGGGTTCGGCTCCAAGCTTCAGAAGCACCTCCACGGCTGCCAGGTGGCCCCCGAAGG